ATGCTGCTTTCCTGTAAAAAAAAGTGCAATGGTGAGCAGCAATAGGAAAAGGAAGTAACACTTCTCAGAAGAGGTCAAACAACTTGTTGAGGAGGTGGTCAAAAAAATGTTTTAATAAAATAATTACTGTAATGTTGTGCAGCATACTACACATAACAAGAACAGCACAGCAAAATCGTAAAAAAAGATTACAGTCTGTGGAGAGGCACTGAAGGCAACATGGCTGCAGAGAGTCTAGGAGAAGCAAATATAAGTGAATTTAAAAGGTTGCTGTGTGTTTTTAAAGATAAGTTGTCAAGTATCTTTTAGATTTTTAGAATGTAACATGTGCTCCTGTACAATGCATGGGTCTACTGAAAGGTCGATTCTTTTAGATTTGAAAACTGGTTTGACCAATTGACTGAAAAGAACCCGTTCAAAAGAACGATTCATTCACAAATGGGACATCACTACAACGAACGCATGTCGGAGCTGTCATGTCGGCTGTGTGGAAATGCAGTTACTCTACTTTATGCTGAAGGAAGATAAAAGCCAAACTGCAGGTTGCAGTGTATATGAGGCTAATGCTGAACACAGAAAAATGTATACAAACTAGATGTCTTCAGACTTGCATTCATTCTAAGGTTTGGTTAATTACTACTTAAACCTCAAACAAGGCTGCTATAACACTAAATGCGGACAGTTTGCTGTATTAACTGAAATGTATTGTTACAAAAATCACATTTAATGCTTAGTAGTTGATTAAAGAGAAGAAATATTGGGTTGTTTTTGATATAAACAGATATTCAAAATTTTAACATTGAGACCGGCCCAGAAGAAATTATATTAAGCAGGAAATTCCCCTGATTAATAGGGGTGTCATACTTTTGGCCAGATAGAATAGATGACTTAGCAGAGAACAGCACAAAATTAATTTTTGAAAATTAACAAAATGCAATAATTAAATAAATTAAACATGCTGTTTAAGGGGATATAACAATATTTAAGAATCATGAATGAAAACAGCAGCATTCTGCCTTCTCTGGTGGATTCTGGCCAGTCCACGGCACGGCATTCAATTGGGCCTCAGCTCATGGCGCTGTAATGCTATGGTCACCTCAGTGGCACCTCAGGGAGCCACGTCACCTTGATGATTTTATTTGTGCTGTGTGTTGGTACACAATCGTGGGTGTACAGGGAATAAAGAAGAGGGCTCAGCACACAGCCCTGTAGAGCTCCAGTGCTGTGTGTCAGGGTCGGGGGGTGGTGAGACCCCAGCCTATCAGTCTGTGCTCGGTTTCTTAGGAAATCCTTGGTCCAGCTGCATGTGTGCTGACTGACACCCAGGTTGAGTAGTTTGGTCACCAGCCTGCTGGGGATGATCATGTTAAAGGCGAAGCTGAAGTCCACAAATAACATTCTCACGTACGCCCCCTGGTGTTCCAGGTGAGTCAGTACATTATGCAGACCAGTATTGATGGCATCTTCTGTTGACCTGTTGGCTCTGTAGGTGAATTGGAGCTGGTCCAGGGTGGGTGGAAGTGAAGAAGCACTTCATTATAGTGGGGGTGAGAGCTACAGGTCTGTAGTCATTACGGCTGCTGATTGCTGTCTTCTTTGGGACAGGCATGATGGTGTCAGACTTGAGGCGTTTGGGGACAGTGCATTGTGACAGAAAGAGGTTAAAGATGTTACTGAACACCTCTGCCAGCTGATCCACACAGTCTCTCAGTGCCCTGCCTGGAATTCTGTCTGTGCCAGTGGCTTTCCTTGGGTTGACACTGCGGAATACTCCTCTGACATTATTTGTGTTAACAGTAAATGCCTATACTGCTACCAGCTGGTCAGCAGTTCTCTGAGTCTATGGGCCCAACAAGAACTTGTTTTCTGTCTCCCCTAACCTCTGCTTGTAGTCTTCTTTATATAAAAAAAAAAGAAAACAAAAACTTGCAATGGAAATTAAAAATAAAGCAGTTCTCTGTAGAGGGATGGTGGTGGAGGGAATGTTAAAAAAAGGAAAAAAGAGAACAAATCAATGATTCAAAGAATCTAATTTCAGTGAACTGAATGAAATTAATCGAATCACTAAAAAGATTTGGTTTGCACATCACTAGTTGGTAATGTGAATGCTGGGCAGCACAGGCGTGTGAAGAACGTTCTTTAGCCAGGACAGTACACCAGCTCCGCAGCCCCATTTCTACTTCCTTTCTCTGCCCCGCCTCCTGCGTCTCCGGCCCGGTATCGTAATTCACGGAGACCCTGCTGCACGGACGATCTCGTTCAGGATCAGTTCTTGTTGGAATTCCTCACTGAAATCTATCTCACTGCATAGTATTCCAATCTTTAGTAGATTTTCCCAGTTAGATGTCGTTTTTGCTGAAGTTATGATTACGCTGCTCGATATCAAAACAAACAAAACGTAACGGGAGACCAAAGCTGCTGCATCCGTGCGCGCCGGCATCTTGATAAGAAGAAAGTAGCTCCATTAATAAATGTGGTTTCTGCTTGTAAATGTGAAGATAATTTCTTTGGGTACATAACGTATCTGTCAGTTGTGTAGTTACCATGGTATAATCGGGCTTATGCACTCCAAGCCGTGTATTATACGTTTTTAAGAACTACTCAACACAACTTCTTACTTTAGTAAATTAAGTACTGTACAGTGATAATACTTTAATGTTTACCAAAGCACCAGAGAGCCTGAACACATCCAAGAACCTCTTACACAGCAGAACTTCGAAGCCTCCAAACTAGGGGTGGCCAATCTTATCTGCAAACGCGCAGTGTGTATACAGGTTTTTAGGATAACCTTTAGATCAGCTGTTCAAATCAAGGTGTGGGGACTCTTCAACCAATCACTCCTCTAATTTGTAATCTAATTAGTCATCTAATTAGGGAGTTGCAGCGAAAACCCAGATACACAGTGACCCTTTCTGGATAAGACTGGCCACCCCTGCTCTAAATGTTTAAATTAATGTAATCATGCCCTCTTGTGGTCTGCCAGTGCAGAGGCTCAAAAATAGATGACTGCACAAAATTCAATTTTGGAAATTAACCCAATCAAATTATTTTTTAAAATGAAAAATGCTGGATAAGAGGATGCAATATGATTCATGAATGAAAAGAGCTGCATATCGCCTTTTGCAGCCTGACCATGGTGTAGCTTTCGTTTGGGCCTCAGTTTATTGCGCTGTAATGCTACAGTATGGTAACCACAGCCCATCACTCTACAGACATGGGGGCCACGTCACCTGACCCCGCAAACCTGCTTCTGCCCCCCCTAGCTGTACACGCCACCAAAGCCTGGGGAGATACGCTCAGATGTGCACACAGGCACGCCTACACCCAGGGTGACATGTTTAAAAGCCAAAGTCAAGTCACTTCCTCTGCAAAACTAGAAGTGAAATTCTAAGCCAGAGACGCCCACCACATCGGTGCTTGTATTTTATATTTAAAGTGCTTCATCCATTTTCTAACCACTTATTATGGTCATGGCCAGCGGGGGCCTGGAGCCTATCCCAGGCAGCATCGGGCGCAAGGTTGGGGTCCTTCGCATTTCATCACTCTTGGTGATGCAACAGCACACTGTATCGTCTCTCACTGCCTGTCAGTAACTGGCCAGTATTGGCTGTACAGTCACCTCCAGAATTATTGTAGTGCCCGACGTTTGCCAAGAATCATTGGAATGACAAATGGAGTAGGTTGTTGTGGTGAAATAAAGACAATGATAGAACTTTTCATACATACCATCAGTAATTTTTAAACTAACTACCTGGAGAACTGAAAACAAGGCCTGGATTTGGAATCGAGGGCCTGAGTTGAATAGCCCTGTCCTATAAGGTGCCCTTATCTCGAATGAATGAAAGTTGCATTTATATAGGGCTTTTCAAAAGCAATGGGGAGCCATTGCAACCACCACCGCTGTGTAACAACATCTGGATGATGTGACAGCAGTCATTCTGCACCAGTACTCTCATCACACAGTAGCCAAGGTGGTGAAGGGGCAGGAGAGAATTCACCAGTTAGATACAGAGGATGATTATGAGGCCAGATCTGATAGGGCCTCAGGGGACAGTTTTAGCCAAGACATCAGGGTACCACCCCTACTCTTTTGAAGGATTTCCAAGGATCTTTCCTGTCCTCAGAGAGTGAGGACTTCAGTTTTACCAAGGATTCACCGAGGACTCGCCTGCGGGCTCCCACACCATCCAAGCCCATCGCTCAGACCTGGGTTCACCCTACACTGTCAGCCTTTCTGTTACTGCCTTGTGGAGGGAGACTGCTGTGCCCTCCTGCCATGCAGTCCCCTGTGGGCTCTCTGGACTTTGTTCCCCAGATCCTTCGATGCCCTCCAGTCCTTATTTCTGCTTGAGTCCGGCTGTCCCCTCATCACCCTCCAGGTCCAGTTCCCGTCTCGGCCCTGTTATCTCCTCAGCCCCACCTGGCCCTGCTGTCTCCTCTGTGCCACCTAGTCCCACCAGCCCTTTGAAGCCTTGAAGGATCCACATCCCTGAGTCATTGCCCAGCATCCCGTGGTCCGAATGATTCTCCCCACCAAACCTCATTCCCATGAGTTCTCCCCCTGTTCTGGCCCCATTGCCCTGTCCCACTTTTATTTCTCCCTGATCTGTGCCTTCTGTGGTCCTTTCCTGTGCATTGTCTCCCTGGATGTCTTGCCAGGTCTGTTCCTTAGTGGTGTCTTATGTCTGGTCTCTGCTGAGTCTTGATTGCTCCCTCGTTAGTCCTTTTGTAAAAGTGCTCCCCATTCCTGTCAATAATGTCATTATACTTGTTTGCTTTCCCAGTGCAGTCTTCCCGTTTTGACACCTTGTGTTCCTGTTTGTTTCCAGTCCCAGTTCTGTTCTGTTTTCTCTTGGATTCTTAATAAACCCCATTTAGTTTGTTCCCAGACATCTCTTCCTGAGTCCTTCGTCCCTCGTCACATGACACCGACATGTGTGCACAAAGGCACGCCTACACCCGGGGGTACATGTTCGAAAGCTAAAGCGAAGTCACTTCCTCTGTAAAACTCCAAGTGACATTCTGACTGTGACAGACACTCATCACATCGGTAAGGTGTTTTAAATCCATATTTAAAATGCTTCCTCTATCCATTATGTTTTATGTGCTTATATGTCTATGTGCTGTACATGCATCATAATCAACATTTCTGATATCCGTCTATCTTTATCTTTGTGTCATAGTGAACAAAAGAGCCTGGTCTATTTCAAATAACAGCTCATCCTGGACACACACTATACTTCTGGGCAAAAAAATGGGCCAAACCCAAATTTCATGGCGTTAAGCTTTTGTCCATTTTTTGCCTAGGACTGTACATATTTCTTCTATCTTTCAGTTTTATCTTCTGATAAATTCAGCAGAATTTTAAATTGTTTTTCACAATAATAGCAGCAATGGAACTGATCACTGGAAGGCAATATAGCCTTTATGTGAATGATGCTTGCTCCCTGTTCATAGTCTGTAGCTATTGTGTGGTCACAACAGGGCTTGTGTTACTTGCAGTTTGCACAAGTTCCTTTCAAAACCTGAGTTTTGCACCATTCCAAGTCCCAGGTCTCAGCATGAGTTCCTGTATTTGCATGGTAACATCTCTGAGTCTCTGAGTACCTAATATCAGAGTACAGGTCACCTGAGGCCTCGGGACAGTGGTCTGGGCATGTAACTGTAAGGACAGCATCTGAGTCCCGTTCCGTGACTAAAAGGAGCCTGTATCTTCTCCCTCTTCAGGTCTTTCAGGCACAATGAAGCTTGTTCTTCTTCAAACACTTTGCTTTGCTACTCTATGGGTCAGCGTGGCCCCCAGTCGCAGGGGTGCTGTAATGCATGGGCTTTCCCAGGCTGAAGCCCAGGGGCCACTGCTAAAAAGCAACCTCACCAAGGGGCTCCAGTTGGCAACTTTGATGATCGCCACCCCACCCCCCACGGATGCTAACTTTTACCTTGGGGAGGTCTGTGAAAACTCCCGACCCTGCATGCCTGCCAAGAACAATAATGCCTACAACATCTTCCTGGCAAGGCATATCCTCAGTGACACCCCAAACACCAGTGACAAGCAAGAATGGAGGACGTTCTTACATAACCACAACCTGTGCGACCCAAACAGGACCACACAGTCATTCCTCCAATACAAGGATGAAAGCATGATCAAAAAAGTGTGTACCCCTGAAGGAGGGAATATCCATAAGAAAAACCTGTGCATCAGTAAGAACAATTTCTCCTTCATAACAGTGACAATCGACAACAATTGTAACATCTCTGAAATCACCAATGAGACCAAGCACATCATCCTGGCCTGTGACACAATCAACAAAATTTGCAGGCCTGTTCACTTTCACGGAAGCCAAAGAAAGGGGAATCTTACAGCTTTGCCGTGTTCCAACCGCCGGCCTGCTTCAGGCGTGCCATAATGTCCACATTCACAACAGCCTTGCTTATAGCATCCAGAATATTCCATGTAAAGTTTTCATTAGTATAGACGCTTTGCACTACTATTCATAAAATGCATGTCTAATATGTTAAGAATAACGTTCAAATTGCAGAAAGTAATGCATCTATGGAATGCTACAGATAAATGATTCGGGGTGTCGGACGGACCCTGCGCTCAGAAAAGCTCATCTGATGAATCTGTTCTCCTACTTGTACAAGTGGAAAATAAAGCTTCATTTCATTACATTGGATTTCATTTCATTATAATCCATTATGAAATCTGTGTGCTATTATAAAACAATAGGCAGTTTCAAACTACCAACTTGTTTGTGGTCTTAACAACGGATACTTTTCTATTTAATGATGGAGGCTTGGGTCGCATTTTATACAAAATATATGTAATCATTGGAGGAAGGAATGGAATGTCAAATGTGTAGTAATTGTGGTATAAGCAAGTTAATGCACTCCAAATCGTGCATTATTCATTTCTGAATGCACTCCACTGTGCCTCCTGTGTTTTTTTGCCTCTGCAGCCATGAATTTAAAAACATATAATGCAACAGGTGCTCAGAAAGACTACCTGATCAAAACAGCACTGGATCTACTGCAGTACTAATGCTTGGGCTACACTGGAGTGGTTGATGCTGTCATCTACTTGCTGAATCAAGCCTAATCCCATCTGGATAAGCAGGGAAGCATGGTGAGGATCATGTTCTTTCATCTTTTTAGGGCTTTAAACACCATGCAGCCCAAACTGCAGGAGGAGAAGCTCAGTTCAGTGCAGGTGGATATATTCACTACAGCCTGGATGCTGGATTGTCTTGCTGGCAGAGCACAGTTTGTGTGACATAAGAATTGTGTATCAGACATAGTCACAAATAGTGCAGGAGACTATATCGGCCACCTTCCTCTTAAGTATTGTAAAAGTGTGTTTGGTGGATGTACATATAGCAGTATTAAAATTATTAGTCATTATTATTATAAAACAATATTTGTAATAATTATGGTGAAAGGATATTCAGGCAATGATGTTATTGTGCTAACATTGACAGAACCTTTGTTAAAATTTAAAACATGGAAATAATGTTCCATCAATGGTACAGTAAGAACGTTCTCTGCCAATGTTGAGAAGACCTTCACATAACGTCCATTGGCCATATTTAAAAAGTTATTTAAAATGCTGTTTTCTGGTGAAGGAAAAGTCGTTTTTCCGTGACTGTTAGAAGGAGGGAAGTGTAGGGAGTGGCCGCAGTGTTTGTGAGAGAGAGCAGAATGAAGGAGCCACGGATGAATGAGAGAAGAAAACACTGGGTTGGAGTAGAAGCAGATGCTGTTTCTGTTCTGTTAAGCTCTTTGTGGTTTTAGAAAACCTGAATTGTTCTGCAGTCATCAGGACAGTTAGTTAATCCCTTTGAGAGGGACTGACCAGCATTTTTCCTTAGTTAAACGCAGGAGTAATCCATCACTATGACTTTGTACATTTCACTGACATTCGGGGGTGCCCAGCTTCAGTCAGCTGGCTGGTGTGAGATTTTCAATTCGAGAGAAATCTGCACATGCATTTACATGTACAACAGTTTTATTACCTCAAAAATACTCTGTAGGGTTTGCAAACTACCCCAGCGCTTTTGATGTAGCTAATGTTAGGTTTATAATGGAATATGTTGACTAGCCGTGAGATGACTTGCTTGACCGTGAGAGTCTGAAGTAGTACTGTGCGGTATAAACGGTATAAATTTGGCCAACGGGAGAGATTTTGATTATACTGCCCTACCGCAGAAATTTCCACTCTTCGCCTGCAAAAATGACATAATCAAGTCGCGTCAAATAATAAATTATTCATTATTAATATGATTTATATGAAAATTATTTATATGATTATTGATGCACCTGGCAGCAGAGTCCTGCACAGGTCTGATTTTGACAAACCGCTCCCGCCTGTACCCGCCCGTACCCGTCATACTAAAACCCGTATCCGAACCGTTATCCGACAGAAATAAAATAAAATTCCGTGCCCGGATCGACCCGCTATAAATAAATACCAACACCGAAATCAGTCAGATTAAAGACAAAAGTTTATTGCCACAACAAACGACCAGTGACATGTGCAACATCAGTTGAAAAGGCATAGCCAAATGAAAACGTTGCTTAATAACATCCTAATAGCCTAATAAGCAAAACAAACAGTAGTAGCCTACCTCCAAACCCAAATAATGTTTGATATTGCCATGCCCACACATAGCCTTTCCAGCTTACAATCAAATGTGTTAATAAACCTAAAATTATATAAAATGTACATTAGGTTACCCTGCACTTTATTAGGATTTATAGACTGTGTACCTACGTGCAACGTCCATTTTCCTTTGATTACTTGATTGGAAGTCCTACAGCAGGGGTTGCCAATCTTATCCGCAAAGGGCCGGTGTGTATGCGGGTTTTCGCTGCAACTCCTTAATTAGATTACTAATTAGAGGACTGATTGGCTGAAAGAGTCCTCACACCTGGGTTTGAACAGCTGACCTACAAGTTATCCCAAAAACCTGCATACACACCGGCCCTTTGCGGGTAAGATTGGCTACCCCAGTCCTACAGGAAGGCATAGACTTGTGTTTGGTGTGGTGCTTTATATTACTGCATGTGTAAAAAAGGATATTGTCCCCAGTTAATGGCCTCAGCTGACTCCTTCACTCCCGGATGACATATCCGGCACATGAGAAATCCCGCTCACAGCGCTGGATGCCGGAATGGCGAGAGTAGATTTCGCAATATGAACATTATTGGGAAACAAACGTTCATGCTATCTCCACCAAGACAAGACGTCAAAAGAGTTGTTTTTGTTATTTGAGATAACTCCGAAATTCTCCCACACGTCGGAATTGATTTTAGTGGAGGTATCGGCCACGACTTTAAACTCTCCACTTGCTACAGTAGTTTTCTTTTCAACGCCTCTGCATCCATTTCGAACAACTGCAGATGATCGCATGCACTTTTGAAAATGAAAGTGGGAGAGATTTCCGGGGATTGCGCATGCAGGCATAAACTGATATGGATTTTACGTTTCATCATCTTGAATGCAGGGATTTTTTGTGTGTCACTAAAAAAAACACAATTTAGACCCGCGATCTCCTGCGTCCGACTCGACCCAAACTCGTATCCGACACAGTAGAATATTTTTCACCCATTTCATCAAAATTTGCGGGTAGTGATGGTCATTCTAATATAGATGTAGTTAGGATACTAGTCTAATTGTAGGCCTATTAGTTTTGTAGCTTTTAGTTCTGTCTTGTTTTCTGCTTACAAAAACAGCTCACAGCGCTGTATGTAATGCTACGGTGACCTCTGTCCACCACTCTGCAGACACATTATCTGACTCTGCAAACTTACTTTTGCCCTCCAAGCTGCACATGGCACCAATGTGTGATGAGATACACCCACATGTGCACACAGGCACGCTTACACCCAATGCGACACATTTAAAAACCGAAGAGAAGTCACTTCCTCTGCAAAACC